AATGACATATTTTCAACTGCCCATTTATCTTTTGTACAGAGAGGTCACAATCATTCTTACCCTTTAAATTTTAAAATGGATGATTATAAGAATATCATTTAAAGAGACACAAAGTTCCAAACAATAAATTCTTGAACTTTGTGACTTGTTTCAAACCATCCAATTTGACATCTAATAAGTGAGAATGATTGTGACCTTTGCATACAAAAGATAAATGGTCTAATGAATCTTATCATCTAAAACTCATACTTTTATTTCATGGTAACATTAATATAGTGTTTTTCTCTAACAATAATCATTCATGGTCTTTTCTCCTCTCTTTGAGCGCCCAAAGGATATATTGTTTCTTTTTTTTTTTTCTCCTCATTTCACAAGCAACCCATGAATCTTTAACTTACGTAATAGGCTCTTTCCCTATTTCAATAGAGAAATCCGTGTGACACCCAGAGAAAAAAAAAAAAAACCACTCAAAAAGGAAAGAAAAAAAAGACACTTGGGAAGGAAAAACATCTATCAAGAATAATAAACATAATCCCAAATCTCTAAAGTCCAATCAAATATATAACAGTAGCCATAACCACTAATATCTAATATAGAGAATAAAAAAAATAGAAAATTTCTAAAAAATTCACCTAAGAGATGTACTATATAATTTATTTTTTATTTAATTTCGAAAGTCCTATCAAAGTATACATGATCATGAGTTGGAACAGTTGAAAAACAGATAAAACACGTAACCGTTGATAAATTAGACGTAGCCACAAATCTTCATCGATCTGGTGGTATCTCATCTTGATGGCTTCCAACAATGGTGGGAGAGAGCCGAAAAAACCAAAAAAAAAAAGAAAAGAAAAAAGAAAGAAGGATAAGCTAGATGTATATTGACAAGTTTCTCTAGAAAATGTTAAACAAAAAAAATAGAATATGGAATGCCATTTGCCATTTCACAGTCCAAAGTGAAAAGAAGAAAACAAAATGCACCAGCCGGGAATCGAACAAAAAAAAAGAAAGAAGGATAAAGCTACATGCATATTGACAAGTCTCTCTAGAAAATGTTAAACAAACGATTGAATGTAGAATGCCATTTCGCAGTCTAAAGTGAAATAGAAGAAAACAAAATTGCACCAGCCGGGAATCGAACCCGGGTCTGTACCGTGGCAGGGTACTATTCTACCACTAGACCACTGGTGCTAATTGATATTCCATGGTCAACAAAATTTAATATAAAGATGTTTAGTTTGCCCGCTGGCTTGCTTCCTTTATTACCTACAAATACTTTCTCAAGTAACTGCTCCATCTAACTTCATATGCACAAAGTCTTTTATATTGAATATTACTTTTCCCATTCGGGGCACACTTTTTATATGGAGGGTGTAGTTTGTATAAGGCGGAGGCAATAAACAATCAAAGTAAGGCTCACCTTCAAATAGTGCCGAAATATATTGTTTCAGAATAAAAAATCTTTATGATGACTTGATAATTTGTTTTCATCACTACCTATAAAATTTAAAGACTAAAAAATAGTGTAAATCGAATAGATCTATGAACACTTCAGAATCTTGAAAATTGATAGTCTAATTAATACATTACAAGATATATTATTTCCAAGACTTGAAATCTATTTATTCTTATATACATACATTTTGAAGTTGAGATAATCGAATTTGAGGGTCTTTCATTATTAAAATAACCTCTTCTAGTGAATTTTTAATGTGTGACTTAATTTGATTATTTAAGGCCTAGCCATAATGTAAACTTTTTCCTTATATGTATCGATCTTAGATAAATTATGTCTCCCCTCTCCTAGCATTTTGATCTTAAGCTTGTCATGCTTAAGATTATTCTTTTTTATTTTATGTATAAATCATCATGAAATTTGAGGTATGGTCCATTCTAATAAGGTTACTGAAAAAAATATTATAATAGAAGTATTTTGGTCATATTCTATCAAAAGTATTTTTTTAAGTGCTCTCTTATTACAACTAGCCACACCCACATTTAACGTCAAGATGATTTAAAAAATACTAAGTATATAAAATACTCTAAATCATCTGGTCAAGATCAAACGATGAGAGACGAATTTTTTTATGATACGATTGAAGTTATCCAGCTATCTCAACTATCCATTTAAATTAAGCAACCTTGTTACATTGTCCCCCAGGTAACAAAATTGAAGTATTTTCTCAAGATCAACTTCTAGAATCATTGGATTACTATTTCCCACATCCAATTCATGGCTCTACCTTCAATCTATTTTTTTTTGTGGGAATTTTTTTTAGGGAAAAGTTTATATAGAGTTGAGGCTCTAAACAATCATATTAGAGCCTACCTCAAAAATTTTATTAGAAAAATTTGTTTTGATGCCCAAATGTTCTCAAATTGATCATCTCGATATCAAGATGTATGAACATGAGAAAAAAAATAGATTTCAAGTTTTGGAAATAATGTATTTTGTAACACATGTTTGGATCGTCAATTTTCAAGATTTTCAAGTTTTCATAGATATGTCGATCTACACTATTTTAAATTTTGAAATTTTAAAATTTATAAATAAAGATGAAAATATATTTTAAGACTATCATAAAGATTTTCACTATTGAAACCACATTTCTCGATACTATTTGAAGGTAGGCTCTAATTTGATTGTTTAGAGCCTAGGCTCTATACAAACCACACCCTTTCTTTTAAGTGCGTGTATTATGAGGTAGCGTGACTTGGGTTGTGTCACAAAGTTCAAGATTTTTTTAAAAAAACTTTGGATATAATCAATGATGCACTCACAACCATCCGATTTGAAGTATGAAGGATAATAATGATTGTGCCATAGCATCGAGGCAATCAAAGAGTATTTTGTATGGAATCCAAAATTGGCTTTTAATAACAAATGAATAAAGATGTATATCTAAGGTTATCTAAGTAAATCTGAGAAATGTGATCACAAATAAATCATGAAAAATTTTGATGGTAGCTCTTTTGGTAATCCGGGTCCAGTTGGGTTTGAGGGAGAATTGAGAGATTCAAATGAATAAGTTATCTTATCTTATGCGGGGCCTTGTGGGCTTTCAACGTCAAATGAAGCGGAGTTTCATGGTATTTTGCGGGGCCTAAGATGTATTAAAGGGAATTTGAGAAGGCTACAATTATGGTGGAAGGCGATTCCCATAATGTCATAAACTGGTGCAAGAAACTTTTAAGTCCTCCATGGCAGTTTTATTCGATTTGGGCAGAGATGGTGAATCTGAGTCAAGGACTTCCTCTCACTCTTTTAATCATGTCTACTGGGAGGCAAATGAGATTGCGGAAGGGTTAGCTAAGTTTGGGGTCTCACTAGCTGAGACAATTGTCGTTGATGAACCACTTCAGGTTTACTATTCTTGTAATATTTTTGAGCAATAAAACTTTGTAATAATTTTTTTTTTTTAAAAAAGATAATAATGATTGTATTCTCCTTATGCTCAAAGTAAAGGAAATTGGTTTGATAGGGTTGCAGCCCTATCGAAATAAGTAAAGCCTCACCTCATAATTCATTGAAAATTAAAATATGTACATCTAAAATAGTATATATTATAATACATTATCTAGACCGTCCATTTCACCCTAAAAGTAAGCGTTCATATATCTGCAAAATCTGTATTATTTTTTTAGTTTTAAATTTTATTGTCAGTGTTGAAAATTAATTTTAGATCCATCATGACGATTTTCATTATCGAAAGTACCTCAAACAAATTAAAAAAAAACATTCTTTCTAAACCCCCTCTCCCTCCCCATGTTTTTCTTTCTCTCTCTCCATGTGAATCTCTCAAACCCCTCTCTCTCTTTCTAAGTACTTCTCCCAACTCTTTCTCACTCTCTCCCCATGCTTCTCCCAATCCCTCTCCCTCTCCCTCTCCGTTTTCCCCCATTGCTAGGGAACAAAACTCAAATATGCCTTGACATTTGACAAACCTATGGGCATAGAATTCGACTTCATTGCAACATAATGGTAACCATCTTGTGATTTTCCTCTCCTCGTGAATCTCCCGAACCCTCCTCTCTCTCTCCGTACTTCCCCAACTCTTTCTATCACACTCTCTCCTCATGCTTCTCCAAATCCATCTCTATAATCTTCCCCATTGATAGGGAACAAAACTCAAATATGACTTACGCTTTGACAAATATATCACACAGAATTCCACTTCATTGCAGCATAATAGTACTTGATGGAATATTGGAATATGCAAAGATTTCTCTTCATTGTAGCATAATGGTAACTATCTTATGATAAGATATCATAATATGCAAAAATTTCTCAATATATTGATTGTTATCAAATAAACTAGACTCCTATAAATATAAGGCCAATAACAATTATGGATATATATCACCTGATCTTATCATGATCAATAGATACATATACTTAATTATACAAGGATATCTAATCTTATTAAGAAATATACATCGATACTGATAGATATCTATACTGATATGTATTGATACACATTCATATTAATACATATCCATGCTGATATGTATCCATGCTAACACCCCCTCAAACTCAAGATGCTTTGAAAGAGCAGCTGAACTCAATGTGCTTTGAGAGAGTAGCTGGAGTTTAAATACTAAGTTTTAAAAAGGAACAGTTGGATATTCAAGTGCATAACTTGACCATTAGAAGCAATGGTTTTCATGCTCAAATTGCTTAATCAACAAGCATATAAAGCAACAATGGAACATTGGCTGATCAACAAGCTTGAGCAAGATAATAAGTGCCAAACAATTGATTAAAATCGGGCCAGCAACCTAAATGGCCAATTTTTAAAAACAATGTTATAATCAGTGCAAGACATGCACAATGGCATAGTCCACAAACATAGTGAACACTATCAACGCCAACCATCGTGTCTATTTATGTTTAATATTAACATCGTCGTCGTTAAAAAAATTTTCCAACTAATTGAGATCGGCTATATGAATCCTAATATGCCATTCTGCTCTATTAATTTATGTTCAATATCATATCATGTTTGAGAGAGAGAGAGATTCCACTTTCATATTTCAGCCCAATACATATGATTACAAGAGTAACAAGTAAAATGCTAGACGTAAATCATCAACGAAATCCTATACAGGCTCACAAACTGCACAATCCAGCCCGCAAGCAAATCTGCTTACCAAGCACAAAAGTCAGGCACTTCTTTCACTTTCTAGGGTTTGTAAGCCTGCACATTCGTACAAAGAGTCTAACAGGCCTTTGTGCTTCTAGGCGTTAGTAGAAACTCAACTCGATCTAAAGCCCAAAATGTGCTTCTAATTTCTGATGACCACATCAGCTTGAAAACCACCCATCAAAAAGAGAAGAAAAATGAAACAAAAAAGGACCCTGTTAGCATGCGATTCTCACCATTCATGTGCACTGCACTAAAAATGTAATTCTTCCTGGATCTCCACCAACATATACTTCCATATTTTTATCAGTTGATGATGTGGTTTCAGTGATATTTACAAATGGTCCCAGTGTCGCAACAGTGAGCCACTGCAGAACCCTTGTTACTGCACCAGGACTGAACTGCTAATTTACATATTCTGAATAAAGTATTTCGGGCTCAACCTTGGGCCACCTGCATATATGAACAAAGTTATCTCCCAAAATTTCTTTTTCTTTATCACCAGAAGTTGATTTGACAAGCATAAGAATCAGATCTCATTGTGTATGTGTGTGTGTGCATGTCCATGTGCGTGTGTTACCAAAAACAGCAACATCAATAAATGTTATTCTTCTGTGCATAACAAAAATACCATTAAAAGTTTCCTGGTAAAGATTCCAGTATTTAAAAGACCTTTAAAGAAATACAAGAATCCGTACAGACTGGGCAGTATTTAACAATTTCAGATATAAGAAACAAGCATCATTCTGCTGTGCCCATTACTTCTTAGGTTACATAAGTAGGCGGTTCATTTTGTATTTATTTTTTGTTAAATAATTGTGTTGCGTTGTGCGATTTGACAATTTAGAACCAAGGGAAACTGTGTTAAATTATCAGAAAAGTCCTACTAGAATAGTCCTAATGATCATCAGAAAAAATAAATATTCACAAACGTCTCACCAGCTTTGATGAATTCCTGCTCTTTAATGTCATCATTGCTGCCTCTGCAAATGCTTGTGCAGCTTCTGCATCTGCTTCAGCTGCCTCCGCTTCCCTTGCTGCTTCTTCAGCTTCAGCCATGGCCACTTCCGCCTCTGCAACTGCTTGGGCAGCTACTCTAGCGGCCTCTTGGGCGCTCATATTTCTCATTTTTGCAAGCTCAGCATCAATCTGAGATCTAGTAAGAAGCCTCACATCGCTCCTTTCTGAACGAGGTGAATCCCTAGGCTTCCCCTCGAGGAGTAATACCCCAGAGTTCCGCTCTTCCACAAGCATACGATTTGGAGGAATTAGATACTTACGCTTTATCTGGGACCATTTCAAAGCACGCCCAAATTTGAGATTTAGAATGGAAAGATCGAGTATATAAAACAAATGGAAGTTCGCTTCATTACGATTGAAATGCAAATAATCAAGGATAATAAAACCTTACTTCTGAACAATAAGAAAAAATGCATTTTCAGAAAATTACCATGAAAACATTGCTCAAAGTTCCTCTCCATAAAAACAAAAGCATCACAAATTGTACTTTTCTCACAGATGAACAATCCCACTTTCTGGCTTTTTCTTTTCTGTTCATTACAGGTATCTTTACGATGAACCAATCAATAGATTTATTACTACCAAGATATGAAAACCATTCGAGGGATCTATTCAAACTAAGATGAACAAGAATGCAGAAAGAGGATTCCTTTCTCTTCAGTAATAGCCAAAACAAGAAATGAATGTCAATAGCAGCAGAAGTAGAAGGAGAGCCCCATTTCATGTTTCTGGTTTCACGGAAGTAATAGCCTCAGGAAAGAGCACCCGGTTCAACGGTTTGGTGTGACCATCGTTCAAGAATTGAAAAGGATATGAATGGTTGTTACCAGGAAAGAGCACCAGGGACAAGGTTTTGGTGAGAAATTATTCAAGAACTGAAGAGGGTACAAATAGCTGTTAGAAATATGGTTTGGAAGGGGCCGTGGGTATAGTCATAGCTTTAAGGTTTTTCTCAGTATTATAACTATAAGCAAGTAAGATATCAATGTAGGAACTTAATAAAAACTTCCACGAGTAAGAACTTGAGCGGTGCTTGTATGGAAGACGCCGCTCTTTGCAGTGAGGGAAACACTTGCCTCTAGCGCATCATGGGGTTCATGGTCCTCGCAAACGCAAGGAAGGTCAGTTGCAGATAACAGTTGAAAATAGTGAAATAATTGCCAGCCTAAGAGATCCAGGACAGGAGGAACTTCAATGTAAATTCTTTAAGAAGAAGAACAGAGTTTGCATTTTTTATTGAGGAAACAAGGGAGGTTGGATTAAGCATGAATTGATATAGAGAATTTCATTTAAGTTCAACATGATAGGTTTGCCAATATCAAAATTCCAACTGAGCCACTCGAACTAACATTTAAAAACACAGGATTAGGGTTCGGGACTTGCCAAAATCGATCAGGGTTGGTCACCTACAGAGTTATTTTTACAAAGCTTCTCACAAGTCAATAATCTTAACGGAGTTGCACCCACAAAAAATTTACATTCTAAACAAGATTAGAATTATGGTTGTGCTATACAACTTGTTTACGTTGGTTTCCAGAGAAAAAATAAAAATACAATCTCAGGAGCTTTTCACACTTTCTAGTTGATTTTGATGAGAAATGTCATCTGAAGTTTGGGACCTCATTCAGGATTCATTGGTGTCTCGCATGATAGAAAATTAGTAAGAATGGATTTTCTAGATAGAAAGGGGAACTAACGAAAAGGAGTGAATTGGAGCAAGGAGAAATAACTTAACATGAGAAAATGAAGGTCTCACAAGGGCATAGGGGGATGCCGCATGTGTTGGGAATCAAGATAGTTTTGATGATGAGAAAGGATAAATCCATGGGAATGACTACTATGGGACAAGGTATTCAGGTTGATTGATGAGAATAGGAATTCTTGCAACATACAGAAAAGGACCACATATAATGAAGAGGATGGATTAATTCCTCATTGGAAAATGAAGTTTTCCTCATTGTCAAATGATATTTTATTGCTAAAATAAAATCATCAATGAGAACAATTTTATTACAAAGATAAACTTACAAAGAAACACAAAAACACACAACCAAGTTCAAGAGATTTCAAGACAACATGCTAGTATTCCAACACAAAATTGTGTCAGCTAAGGTGATTCTCAAAGAGTCCCTTAATTATTAAGGGTATCAGCCTCCTGCTTGGCTCCCCTAAGCATGTGCACAGAGGTCACATTCTTAGAGTCAGAAAATGTTTATGATCTCATAGCATGTCATAGCCACCCTCTTTTTCAAATTAAAAAAAAAAAACACACACACACACACAGCCACTCTCAATGGAATAGAGTTCTCTTTACAGGCATTGAGAGAGACATTGGATGGAAGGGACAAACCCCTTCCACTACTAAATCGATTCCTTGGATGGAAGGGAGAAAGGAGCAGATCCATAGACCTCTAAGCAATGCATGAGCGTCCACAAATGTAGAATCACGTGTCCCCAATGGACCTAAATAGCTTTTAAGCATCCTACTTTCTTCATCTCTAAAAGCCCCACCCATAACCCGGATCCCTGCGAACATCCATCAAAGCTTAGCTTTCTAGTTCCCTTCACTGGAGCAACCCAAACTGTCATGGGTTGAATCCTGGACTTGATAAGGCCAAAGATCTTCCAATCCTTAACAAGTAGAGAGCCTTGAAACCTTGAAAAAAGAGAGTACACTTGCAGCAAGTTGCAAGTTTGGACCTCTTGCAGTTCACTCTGGCTAGGCAGTCAAAGCAGAATTTATTTTGGTCAGAGACTTCCATTAAGGAGGGTAGGTAACATCCATCTAATCCTCCTACGGCCCCTGCACTTCCTTACACTAGAAGGCTTTCTACTTGCTGGATTTTTCCTATAACTCCCAGGGTAGCCTTGGGGTCAACTAAGTCATACCATTGATCCACGTTAAGAAATGAGCCCCTAATTTGACAGTGCTAGATACCACTTATTTCTTTCATTACATAAAAAGCACAAAAAATATTAGACCCGTGTTTATTTAAATTGTTCTTTTGGGATCATTGGATACAGACCCTTGGTCTCGCCAGATCTCTTCTGATGTCATGTTTTAGTTTTAGGCCATTAGAGTACCAAACCCTCTGGGCCTCAGGCTGGTTTTCCAAAAGGCCATCTAATGCTTGCCATGTGGTCATGACCCAAGACCACCAATTTCAAGAGCCGAAAGTGGAGACTCCCATACGGATGCTAAGTTTGGAATGGGCGTGGCCACTGTTTCATGGAGTGTAAGTCCTCAATACATGTGGCATTTGATGTCCCTCACCTCTAATTGGAGTATGCAAAATCCAGGCTGACATATCCTCACATGGCTTCCATATTTTGGGATGCATGTTGGCTAAGGGGTACATTTTGGAGTTTTCAAGCATGAGATAGCACTTGTGCATACATTTGTATGCCTTAATAGATATAGCTCCTGAGTTGCCTTAATAGATAACTCCTGAGTTGGAGGTCTGTGGTTATTTAAAATGTATATAACTAGAAGACGGGCACAGGAATTTACAATCAAATATATGACATGCATCGCTTCATGATTGCCTTAACACATGTTGGCTCTGCACAGGAATCTTGAGTCAAGATTCCACTTTCACAAGTGGTTGAAAAGCCTAGGGTGGCATGGAGCTCTTTGTCTCATCTATAAAAGTAAATGGGTGCACCATACTTGTATACATATACAGAAAGCATCCGCTAACCAAAAAGGGGTATGTCTCAAATGATTCAATGACCATTCCGCCTTTTTCCCCGCAGTCAAAGAGATTTGATTGACTCCATACAAAAGGCCTCGAAAAATAGCCTTAGAGAGTACAATAGTTGCTCATTATATCCTCTGCTGAGCAATGTTTTTAAAATCGGACCTACAGTCAAGCTGGAGAAGGCTTCTCCAGCCTAATCCAGTCCATTTACTAGTCAAACAGAGAAGCACTGAATGAAATAAATCAACATAAATAAAATTTCTCATTTGGCAGGTCTTTTGGTTTTACCAGCTGGTTCAACCTGCCTCAACAATTTCATCCCAATTCAAAAAGTTTTTTACTGAAGATAGCAGTTGAACTTGACTAATTTTCAACCCTTCCAGTCTGATCAGGCTTTCACAACATTGCACACACCTAATGTGAATTCCTTGAGCATCACCAGACAGTTGCTTCAAAGAGTCTTCCTGGGGCTTGTATCTGAGTTTGGTGTATTACATTGTAACTCAAGGATCCAAAAGACATAACTTTAGAGAAAGAACATTCATGTTGCACATAAGCAGAAGTATGGCCCTGTTAGTTGATTGGGTCATCTCATGGACGAATTCCCAGGAAATTAAGGGTGATTCAGTGTAATTTTGTGAAGACGACTAAGAAAAATAGGAACAAACTTACAACGGATTATGCAGGTGAAGGCAATAAGCCAATACTTCTCAATCTAAACAATGAACATTGCATTATTATTTTTTGCTTTCTCTCGGTTTCCACAATCAAAGGTTCAAAGGTTAAAGGCTTTATTTAAAAGAGTACAGGTTATAGTCATATTTCATATGGCCAAAGGCAACTAAAACTGATATATTTCCAAAACTCTATTTCTTAATATGAGTTATCAAAAGAAAATAAATTTAACTTGCAAATATGTGATGTAGCATTACCTTAACAAGTTTCCCACTTGCTGTCAAAGTCTTCAACTTTGCTGACAACAACCGTTTGAAATTGGGTGGAGCCCAATATTGATCCTACATTATTTCAATATTTAACATTGTCAGTACCAATATAATAAGAAGCTATTGGCATTAAATTCCAATGAGTCACTTGGCATAATATCTCTTCGGAAGGTATAAATGTTTACGGACTCCAAACTAATAACATCATGACTCTTAAATAACGTCTTGATCTTCAGTGAAAGAATATAATTCTAAACTCACAAATATAATTTGCATGACATTAGCAAATGTGGATGCAAGATGCAGGTAATCGAGTCAGGATTCATTATTCAGATCAATTGCAAGTTGCTAAACAACCAGTTTTTAGTCCAGCCAAGTTTCGTCCAGCCAAAAAGTTGCTAAACATTATTCACTACCTTATAAGTTGCTAAACAACCAGTGAGACTACCAAAAAAAGAAAAACCCATATTTTCTCTATTCCCAAAAAAAGAGGCTTCTTTGATAAGACTGACCACTTAAAGATACAGTTCTCAGAATTTAAAGATAGGCAGGGATACTTCTTTGATATGACCATTGGCATGTCCAAATGATCATTAGGACTGCAAGTTGTCGGTTTAGACCTTAGAAATAAGAATATCGGTGTCAGCCTATCCTCTTTCTATAAAAAGGAGAATTGGTCCATTGCATTGGAATCCAAGAGACAAGCCTTTCTGGTAAGAATAGATAGGATTAGGTTAGTTAAAACATTTCCTTCCAACTATGGTTCTTGTTATGCTTTTGCATATTTAACAAGGACATACTCAACATGGTTTATTCACATTGAATATTATATGACACTTCATTCAGACAATATGGAATGCGTTCTTTTTTACTTTTTTTTTTTCCCATGAAGTTGAATGTGTTTTGTACAGTTTATTATCTGCTCATTACAATCAGATGTTGAATGTATGATCTTGGTTTTAACCTCAGCGAGAGAAATTCTACTGGACATATGATGGAGAAACAGACAGCTATATTGAACCAAAGCAAAATTCTGAAAGCAAACCTTGACTAGTTGAGGGAGTTTACTAGCTGAGTCAAGCAAATCTAGCAGCATATACCAGACCATCAAATAGAGACAATCACCAGTTCTAGACAATGTTCATGCACAGGCAATTATTCAAATAATTTACAGCCACTTCAACTTTATGAACCATTCATACATCCAAAACTGAAAACCGCCAAAGCCAGACCCCAGGGGACATCTCAATGCCCCTAGGCAAGATTAAGCAGCAAGAATATAACAATAACGAAATCTTAAGCACCAAATGAATAAAAACCTTGATTGCTAGTAACGAAGAACCCAAGGAACAGATGGAAAATTTCTCTAGGCCCCTTGTTTAAAATAGGAAAGGGCATATGAGAGAGAAATGCTGACCAAGTTGATCCAAAATTGAATGTGATAAGAAACAAAGGAAGCAGAATAACTAATGATCAGATATATAAGACTGAAGGGTGCGGTTTGTACAGAGCCGAGGCTCTAAACAATCAAAGTAGAGCACACCTTCAAATACTGTTGAGAAATGTGGTTTTAATACTTAAAATCTTTGTGATAGCCTTAAAATATATTTTCATTACTAATTATCAGATTTAAAACGCTTCAAAAATATTGCAGATCGAGCAGATCTATGAAAACTTAAAAATCTTGAAAATTGACGGTCCAAAAATGCATTACAAAATGCACTATTTCCAAAACTTGAAATCCAATTTTTTCTCATGTCCATGCACCTTGAGGTCGAGATGATCATTTGAGGATACTTGGGCATCAAAACAAACTCTTCTAGTGAAAATTTTGAGGTGCACCCTAATTTGATTGTTTAGAGCCTCACATTTATATAAACTTTTTCCAAGACTGAAAGCCTATAACGAATTGCAGATCAGATACTCAAGGGACCAGATGCAATGGCATCTGCTCCACTAATGCTGACCAAGAAAACCTGAAGTTATATCTTGATTCCCTAATTGATTCCTTGCATGTGAAGGACATGCAAAGTTTGAGTGAAGATTATAATTGTTCCTGAGTGTTTATTGTCATACAGCACACAATAATGGAGGGCAGCGCCTGAAATATGGATGGATCCTTTTGCCATTGAAACTCAGTGAAATTTAAGTCAAGGATAAAACAAAGAAGCTCTCTAAAATGTAAGCAACATATTAAACAAAAAAGAAAGAGAAAACAGGACGCATAAACAAAATCAGGATTGAGAGACTGAATGATACTGTATCTTGGGGATGGTAATATATCGCCCTAATAAACATTACTCAAGTATACAATAACAACATTGAGGAGTTAATAAGGATATGGAGAATATCTTTTATCTATAATATCTTTTAAAAAAATTATTATTATCTTAAATATTCCTGGCAAAGTTTAGCCAAAATATTTCTTTAAGTCAGTAAATTTTTTTTTAAAAAAAATTAAATAACAGAGAAACACACGCACCCATGAGAGAGAGATTGGAGGTTTCAGAACCTATGATAGTAGATAGGTTCAGTTTCTTCTTCACAAGGATTTTAGAGAGTAAATAGAAAAGTAAATGTACCTCTATGTATACAGCAATTGCTGACTTGTTAGATCCACCGGGCTCCTTTAGATTAGCAATAGCATCCATTACAAGATTGTCTAGCCTACATCCACCACCATTAAAGTCTGAGATAAAAAGCAACATACTGAGCTCAAAAGATACTAAAAGGAATATATATATAATTTCACTAGATGTGGGATTTCATTATGCTAAACAGAAGAGATATAGTGCCACTAGAAGTGGTATACCATTCTTTCTGCACTTCCCAATAAAATGTATTGCTTCTTTAAGATAGAAAAAAGTGTCATATCATATCCACATGTACAATAAGTAGCTGCTTGAGTATGCAGGAAACTGCAATGATGATCTGAAAATCAAATAGCCACAGTGTTCCAAACAACGCTGTCTACTGAATAGCTCGAGCTATTCTAACATTTTAAAGTTTCAATTGCAGTAGTGAAAATACATAATTTAGGCATCCAAATAGTTTGTCAATGTAAACTGCAAAGTAGGACTTGCTAAACAAACAGCTCAAATTTCTGACAACGCGATGTCCTCCTAATTTTGTTATTCACCAAAATCCTCCCTACACATCATGCAGTCTTAAGAAGCTATTGATGAAGAATATCAACTATAAAGGTCACAATTTAGATATTTTATCACTAAATCATAACAATGATTTATTTTCAATCTTAAAATGAATGCATACCTGGGTGCCACATCTACAACCTAGCTGCTCATAAAAGCCTCAATTTCAAAAGCATGAACAGGTGTATACTGCTTCCAACAAAAACAATGCAAACTCAACAACATTTCGTTAAAGATCATGAATGCATCTTACTGAAGATGAGTTATGGAACTATTACTATTCTTAATTCTAACACATCCTACCCTTATGTCCAAGCATATGAACACAATTCTATTCATCGATGATCTTTGTTGTGAACAAATGATCACAACTTATTAACTGCAGCATCAACTGCTAATAAAACATGAGTTGCTTGACAACTGAATTGAAGGGCCCATAGTTCCCCATAGTGTGCAGAAAATGCACTGAACATGACAATTACCAGCAACTAATAGCTAGTGGCTCAGAACATAACTAGCATCTAAGAAAAAACAAACCAATTAACCGAAAATAGAGAAAACAATCCAAGCAACTCAATATGTCTGTTATTTTATTGGAAGTCGCATCTTCAATAATCTAAAGGCCAAAAGCAAAATAAATAGGTAATGTTACATGTCAAGTAACGATAAGTACTGACCTGGATATTGTTCTCTTTGGACCTGTGATTTGCAAATGCCCATTTGACATGGCTAGAGGTTTTGCATCAACAATTTCATCATCAATGCCATTAACTACTGTACTAAGAGCCAGAGGGTTATCATCATGCTTTGAGAAGTGTTGACTTTTCTTGAGTGCTAAACGAGCTTTTTCCCGCGATCCCCACCCATTTGCAGTGACACTCATGTTGCGCCACTTATCCTGTCAAGAGCACAAAGAGTATATCTCAGTGTCCATGACGATGAATGCATGGGAACCATGAGGGAAACAAACATATAAACTAACAGCAGGAATCACTTCCATTATATGGAATGTCAGATTCCTGAAAAAGTGGAATGTTTCCAACAGCATTTCCTTACATAGTTAAAAATTGCAGTTAATCAAGAGTACAGGGTTTAAACAGAGGAGAAAAGTAGAAACAAAAGGTTTACAACATAGAATCGAGATTAACACCGAAGGTCACGACCCCACCAAACAACCTCAGGCCATTCACGTCTTTAAGAGCTTCACTTTGCAAAGTAGAAAGAAGTGGAGGATCACATAGAGGAACTCCTAGATCTCAACTATATGACAAGGCAAGGCAAAGCCCCTGGAACCCACCTGAGGACATTGAGCAGCAGCCCCCTTTCCCCTACCCAAAACAAGAAATAAAAATAATAGTCAATTGAGGAAGGCAACAATATATTACTGAAATAGTATAGTTACAAAAATTTCTCGCGAGAGGTGGGGCGTTTTCGGTAGCCCACAGACTGGGTGCTCCTTTACAAAAAATAATAATAGAAAGAGAAGAGAGAAGAAAGAAGGGAGACGGAGTGGGAGAGACAGTAGAGTGAGGGAGAGAGAGAGAGAGGAGGGGAGAGAAGACTTCAATCATCTAACCATCCCTGCATCAATGAGCCAATCTCAGCCACATAAGCATGTATGACAAATAAGCCAGCATCTTCCCAATATTGCTAACCCTCTCATCCCGATGCCTCAATTTTTACTTTGACCTTGGGTTTCTCTTTGACATATCATAATATTGCAACTTCATCATCTCAATGCATATGAATTCTGGGGTGTACATAGCAATGAATCTTTGACCCCAACCTGTTTCTCCAAAGAATCCATCCTCAATCTAACTAATTCCTAATGCACCAAGCCCCATAAGACAGTAATATTATACATGATGGCCCCCCTTTTCCTCACAGATCACCCCCATAAACAACTGGAAAGTGTGAAGACCAAACCAATTGTCGCCTAGGATTCAAACAAATGCATTGACGTATCATAGCTAAAAAACTTCATAATATTTTAAACAACTCAAGGAAGAACTGCAGGTGAAATCATGATGCATGAATAAATGCTCCACAGATTCCTTTACCTGCATATCCATCATGTATCACAATGTGAACTAAATGAACATGAGATGCAAACGATCCCAAAAGCATGTATTGAACGCCGAACCAACTAAAACCTCCAATCAAGAACAGAAGGTGGCAGCCCCAAGCCCGCCCCCACCCCCGCAGATGGAATCCCAACTGTACAAAATTATGATGAAATTTGATGTATCCAGCCCTCTAAATGGGAACTAATATGATATGAATATAGTATTCCATGACAAAGTAACATAGAAAATAAAAAATAATAACATACTAATTAAGCCCCAAAAACACTGAAATGAAGCAAGAAATAACAAGAATTCTGAAACCGTCCATGAAGCTCATTATGCTATCCATAAATTTAACATACACCAACAGAACTCGTTCGTCTTTTCTTGATGTTGGAATTCATGCATTCCTGCTAACTTTTATCTTGGGTTAGGACTTTCTCCTAAGACAAAAACGACCTCAATCTCAGATACAAAATCAAAGCACATAAGCAATGCCTTGTCTACAAATTATTGATCCACTACTTGCAGACAATAGACAACAAATAAACAGTCATTCCAATTCAATCTACTCTGGAAGCATCAAAAAGCATCATAAATACCTAAACAACCACAAGGCAAACTGATTTACCCTGAAAAAAATGAGCTGCCCCTTAACTCTCAATCATTAAAAAAAAACTGAACAGGATGTATAGTTGAACCATCATGAGAAACATTGCAATAGAATAGAAAACCTATATGAGAATTCACCTTAAGATCGACATTTGATCGCAACGCTAAAATCACACTGAAAACCGGGTCTTTCAGTATAGTCCTCCATTTTCCTGGCCCATACTTATCAACTCCAGCACGAAGAGCAGCTTCTTCTTCAGATGTCCACTTCTGCTTGGGTGCACCCATAGACAGAAAACCTGCTACTTTCTTCAAGGAATCAGGTCCCCCACTCTTAACTTCTGTATGCCTGCTTGAGCTTTCAATTCTTTCCTATTAATCCCAAATAATAAAAAAAAGTAAATAAATAATCAGATTTATCAATAACAGGAAATTAGCAACAATCAAAAATCATAGATAATTCACAAATGCAATTTATTCTGTGCAATTAAAGAGAAAAATTAGCTGTTTGAGGGATTAAATTGATTCATTATCGGATAGTAGAAATTGCTGGAAAAAGAGAAAGAGAAAAAGAAACTAAAATTCAGTCACCTCCATATGGATCCAATAATTGCTGATAATTCCTCAAAATCATAGAAGGAAACCCTAGAATTCCCCCCTCGAACCGACGCCGGAAATCCTAGCGTTTGTTATTTTACTTTTTAAATAAACAATAACCCTTTTTGACCAAAATAACTCAGTACTGCACAAGAAAAAGTGCAGATTATAGAAGAAAGAAACACACTTTTTGAAAATTAGAAGAGAAATCCAATTGATTATAGAAGAAAGAAACACACTTTTGAAAAATTAGAAGTGAAATCCAATTCCAAATATCTCCAATAAAACAAAAATCAAATGCAAATTAACTCCAAAAAGACAATTAAAATAGATCACAACGATGTGATACAACAGATTTCTATAGAGAATCCCCAAAGCTACTTCAAGCCTCAGATATTATTTATTAGAAGTTTTCTTATATTCGGAAATAAAACCAATGAAAATCATCTCAATTCAGAGAACAATCAAAACCCTAATTCTGGCGTAGTAAAAAAAACCAGAAAACTAGGAAACTCACCAAGAAAATAAAAAATCAGAAATTAAGACCTTGAAAAGGTGCTTTCACAAACAGAATTTCCAAACCAAAGTGAATTATCCATTAAAATCATCTTATACCATAAATAAGTTCTTACTATTCAATAAAAATAAAGGCTTAGAAACAAAACCCCACAGAAAAACCAAAGATAATATTACAGAAACGGATTCAAGGGTCCTACTTTACATGAAGAGAAGAAATTACAGGGAATTCGGGGTGAAAAAGGATCGAAAAAATAAAATATTTGGAAATATAAAAGGATTTCAATGAAAATTTGTGAAATTTAACCTCTGAGTTCGAGTGGTTCACCCTTTGTTTCGGGTCCTCTTTGTTGCCGATGTGCCCTAATATGCCATTTTATCTGCTCCTCTAATTTTACCCCTTTTCTTCATTTTCTTTTTTTTTCTCCTGATTTTTCCCCCTTTTCTTTATTTTGGTTTTTGTATTTGTTTTCTTTTGAAGGGGAACGTGGGAGATAAGAACGTTGAATTCTGATCAGAAATATTAGGGTTTCAGAGCTCCTGACCCACGTGCCAAATCACACGCGGCACAGATTTTATTTAAAACAAAAAAATAATAAAACCAAAAAGGATGGTTTCGTCTTTATGTGTAACTAAAAGGTTGGTTTTGTCATTTAGATAAGCATGCATTTTGAAGCTTTCGCGAGAACAGCCATACGGAGACAAATCCCCTGAATATCCAATGCGAGGCGTGCATATCACCCTTTGAAGGGACTCCAACGATGCAGATTGAATTTAGGTAACAATGGCTATTATTTATATTTGTATTTTTTATTTAAAGGTAAGGCTCTAAATAATTAAATTAAAGGTAAGACTCTAAACAATTAAAAATTCATTAGGAGAAGCTTTTTTAATGTTAAAACATCCGCAAATTGATGAGCTCAACCTCAAGATGTATAGACATGAAAAAAAAAGGATTTATAGTCTTAGAAATAATGCTTCTTGTAACGTATTTTTTTACCGTCAATTTTCTTAATTTTATAGCGTTTATAGATCTACTCGATCTACACTATTTTTGAAGACTTAAATTTTATAATTACATAGAATTAAATTTTCAACATCTTTCGACACTATTTAAAGGTGCGTTTTATTTTGATGGTTTAGATCCTCAGCTCTATACAAACCACACTTTTTTTTATTTTCATACAAAATTTATTTTCATGAAAATGGGGTATGCATTTTAGTCTATTTTTTTACTTTGATATTTTTTTTATTTCTAGTAAAAATGGGTTGACACCCTTACAATATTCTTAAAAGGGTCAAAAGATTACAAATTATACTTGAGAGTAGTACTTTTAAATTTGTATATCAATAAATTATGTCACATACCAATGACGCTAAATAGAAGTTCTATTGGACAATTGTGAGACTAGCGTTGCATTGTGGGGTGGAGTGTTGGGTGACCAAGAAACAACGTACCCGTAGGATGAGTGTAATTAAGATATGGATGTTAAGATAGATTAGTAGCAAGACAAGAAAGGATAGAATTTGAAATGAATATATTTGAGAGAATTTATGTATGACTCATATAGGCGATAAGATGAGAAAAAATCGACTTAGGTAGGCTGGGTATGTGCAGTGCAGACCCAGTATAGCACTTGTTAGGAGGTGCAAGTTGGTTCAAGTAGAAGGCTAAAAAAGTGTAAGGGGTAGCCCAAAATAACATGATTGAAAGTAGTAAGAAATGATATGGGTGCTCATGACCTCATTGAAGTATAACCCATGATAGAGCAAAATGATAGACTAAGATTCGTGTAGTCAACCCAAAATAATTAGAAAAAGACTTAATGATATGATGATGGCTCAAGTAAATAATGTACCACTTGTTTTGAGTTTGAAATCTGAAGCAATATTTTCTAAAAAAAAAAACATGTTATGAGGTTAAAACTTAGTACATGGAAAAAGGGAAAGATAATAAATAAACCAATAAAATACAAGAAAAAAATTAAAAAATGAGAGATTATACCCTCTTTCAGGGTTTGTATGGGAGTTCCCTCCAAAGTGTATCTTTTCATATGACCAAAATCAATTATTCTTCTCTATAACATGTTTCATATGCATGAAAATATTTTCGCAAAAGTATTTTTACATGAAAGAGCTCCCTCATGTGATTAGGTGGAGTTTTTTCACACCAATTGACTAATAATTGATTTGAAAAAAATGCGATTAGGTGGAGATTTTTTCACACCAATTGACTACTAATTGATTTGAAAAAAATGCATTGGGACCAATTGGTCTGAAAAAACTATAACACCTAGTCACATGGGGGGAGTTCTTTCGTGTGAAAACAGGTTCAAGAAAGTATTTTCACGCGTACCAAATATATATTTTTATGACGACCAATTGGCTCGAGGCTTGGTCTATTTTTACGAGTCACGGCTTTGCTCACACATGTGCACGGAGAGGAGCGAGCATGGCGCATGTGGAACATCCAATGGTCACTAGCTTTTGAAGATACAAGGAACTTGAAATTGATGGCAGCCATTGAGATGCATGTAATCGTTCACATCTAACGGCTGAGAACTGTTGATGGCAGTTATTTGAGTTTTAACAGTAACATTGTGTACTGTAATAATATAAATTATTCACTTGAACAATAAACTCGCAACCACTTAGAACTCTATAAAATGGGTATGTTTTTCCAAATCTCTAGACTCAATTTTTCAATAGAGCTTTGGCATTTATATATATATATATATATATAGGAAAAACTTTGGGTGAGCCCATTAGTTCACAAGAAAAAATGAATCCAACGACCCAGATTGAATCTGGGCTGATTTGACAATCACAGATGTCCGGTAGTTAATATTTTTTCTAGAAATCCAAATCACTTAAAATTTTAGACATGTGTTCTTCCCATCAAGCCGCACCTAATAAAAATATAAAAAAAATAATTCGTAAAAACAAAATTGACCAAAATACCCTTGAAACTTTTTAGGGGTATTTTGATCAATTTATTTCGTGTAAAATATTTTTTTTTTGATATTTTTCGAAGATTTCACCTATTTTTGATGTACACATGCTTCAAATTTCAAGTAATTTGAATTTGTAGAAAAAAAATTAAAATTCAAACACTACCGAACATCCATGATCATCAAATCGGTCCAGATTCAATCTGAACCATTGAGCTCAATTTTTCCAATAAGCTAGCAGGCTCACCTAGCATCTTCCATATATATATATATATATATATATATATAGTAGGCTTCTAACTTAGGTGCACAGAGCTTTAAAGAGTTAAAAAGAGACCTTCTATTTTTCTATAACCCGAGGACCAATTACCTTTTTTATGCACATCTTTTACAACGTTGAAAGGGAGAATAGCATATTGAGAAAGCGCTTTTGCATGCTCGAAAACAGAAGGAATTTCACCTAATTCGTTTTATTTTTTTGCTCCTTTTTCACCCAACTACTTACAGCAAAAATAAGGTTGTGTAGAATGAGGCAAAATTTTAAATTTTTTTGTTCTACTTTAGTGTATAAAATGTGCATTTTTGCGGTAAACTCAATTATAGAATCAGGCAAATTTTGTGGTTCACTTTAGTGGTTAGAATGAGCTCAGTTGTCTATATGAATGTATCTAATAGGGGAGAGTTTGTTTTTTTGTTATGGTTTTCATGGGGAAGTCGAGCTTTGGATCATGAATACGAGATCAACTGTTCGTCTTCTGGTTGCATTTTACTAGTTCAAATTAAGGATCATGTTTATTTTCTTGCGGCTTTTGATGATTGAAATGAGAGCTCCATTTTTATTTATTTTTTCGTTGTGTTAATGTTCAATAATTGAATGAGTTTGAAAACTTTTGTTTTTTTTTCTCTTCCTTCCAGATAAGGAGTTAAGAATTGGTTCGAGTCAATAGTACGGATGAGAGAAAAAAATGAGCAAAATTGGGTGTTGAGTTGGTTCCAAAGATTTTTTTTTGATGGTATATTATTAGATTATTCAACATTATTACAAAGATGTCACAATCACTCCATTTGGAGTGATTCACACAGTTCAATTTTTTTTTGAAATTTTAAATTTAAGCAATGACATTTTTATAACCATTATCAGATTTTTAGCCTACGTAAGCAAAAGTAATTTTAACCTCCTCGAACCAAAAAGTAAATTCTCTTTATATACTTTTTTGTTTGAAAAGGCTTTGAGGTGCTAACACCCCCCACACCATTCAATTTGGATCATGCGAGCCACCAACCATTTGATCTAACTCAATATATTTTATTTTTATCTTATTTTTACAAACTATATGAATATAAAATTTAATACGTACCATCATCTCAACAAAGCACACCTAATACTAAAAAGAAATTTTCAATAAATATATAAAACCAAAATACCCCTTAAAAATTTCAAAGTTATTTTATTCATTTTATTTTATTAAAAATATTTTTTATATTTTTTATAAGTGCGAATTTCAGAGAGTGGACACCCAAAATTTGGCACCAAATATTTTGCATAAAAAAACTAAAAATAAGACACTTGACATTGTGATTGGGCATTGCAGCCCTCCAGTTAAAATGAAGGATTGGATAATGGGAAACATGTAAGTTAAATAAGTAGGGGAGGCACAGAAAGCTTGCCCAAAAAAGAAACATACAAAACCGATATGAAAAGTAATCTCAAAGAGCTCAAGTATATCTTCACTACAACTCTCTATAATACACGATTAAAGTTCTGGTGAGAAGTATAAATCACATATCTTGCAAATAAAATCAAAGTTGAGGATAAATCACCTCACTTGTAAATAAAAAGCTTCTAGTTGTTCATCAAAGCATGTGGAAGTCTCAATGGCTCTCTCTCTCTCTCTCTCTCTCTCTCTCGATAAATTAGCATCTCAAAAGTCCCTTGATAACAGAACAGCTTTGCCATTGCTTATCATGTAAATACTCCATCTGGAAGTAACAAATATGATCAATTTCAAAATAGATAACAGGTGCATGCAATATATATTTCTCTAAATAATGGATACAGTTTCTAAAGGGCCTGGATTTTATGAAAAAAACAAAAAGACACAAATAAACAAAAACTTGCAAAACGCTCTATGAATGTCTAGCTCCTAAACACATCAGAAGGGCAACAAGAATAAAAATAATAATCTAACCTGGATAAATAAAACGAACAGGAGAAAACCAAAAACCTCAAATTGATGGATCAAACCAGACAGCCACCAAATACCATAAAAGACCGTATATGGCTTCAGGCTGAACATCTAAACATGGCACCTGAGGATACAAAATTTCAACACATACTGAACTGTTTGTGAATGCAAGAGCTCTCCCAATATAAAGTAAACAAATTCAGTTTTGACAGGGGATATCCTATCTAAGTTAGCCCAAAACCCGACACCCACACAAGTTGCATGAAAACATAGATCCATTGAGCATATGATTCAATAGATTTGACAAACCAACTTGAGTCGAAGGAGCACAGCAGCAACCAGCCAATTTTCTTCCATGTTGAATTACCCAAAATCATACACCCCATAACATGAAGATAGAACAATCCATCCTCTGAGTTTGTCACCAAAGCTACAACATTGAAAGATAGAACCGAAGGGGAAGAGATTTGACCGGAAGCAGTATAAACATGAACCATGACTTGAAATCAGCAATTCAAAATACATGTCACCAGTAGCAACTAAAAATCTGAGCTTCAGCTCATCCAATTAAAGATGCTGTTGCAGAAGAGCCATCTCTCGGTCACAACAACGTACAGTAAATTAACGCCAGCGGAAACAAAGAATATTCAATAAAACAACCACTTCCAAAGGATTTATTTATGAAGACGTATTTTGCCCAGTTTTAGAGTTGCTATCATCATCAAGAACAAAGCAAAGAAAAACAAACAAGTAAAAATGTGGAATTCAGAAAATGGAAAAAAAAAAAATAGAAGTAATCATGTAGCTTAAGCATCAGCTGGACCAAAGTCACCTAGAAATTTAAAGCAATGCAATGAAATCCATGTAATTAAATCACTTTTAAATTTGAAAGGAGCGATTGAGGAATAAGTCAAAATCAAAAGGAGAAAATTACCCAAATTAATCATGACATGTAATATAATTTGAACCTCCATAATGCTGTTTCTCAAAAGCAAAGTTGACAGCCATATACCAACAGAAGTTATTGAAAATTAACTCAATGAACCCTAAAAACAATGGCAGTGATAACTTCAGAGATGAAATACAACCATAATAGGATAACAACAACCGGAGCTAACAAAACCAAGAGAACTATTTAAACTGCAACCATGAAGAAAACTAGTAGATAAGTTGAAGTGAAAACTGTAAGAGACAAATCTTAAAATAACACCAAAAGAAGCCTCTAGCAAAATCCATATTCTTCAAAAACCATGAACCAGAGAGGAAGAATTGAGGAATAAGTCAAAATCACTGACAAAACCCATATTCTTCAAAAACCACGAACCAGAGAGGAGCAATTGAGGAATAAGTCAAGATCACTGACAAAACCCATATTCTTCAAAAACCACGAAGCAGAGAGCGATTGAGGAATAAGTCAAAATCAAAAGGAGAAATTTATCCAAATTAATCTTGAGGTGTAATATATATAATTTGAACCTCCATAATACTGTTTCTCAAAACCGAAGTTGACAGACTTTTGAAAAATTAATTCAATGAACCCTAAAAACCATGGCAGTGATAACTTCAGAGCTGAAATACAACCATAATAGGATAATATCTATCCTGACAACTGGAGTTGACAAAAACCAACGAGACAAGTCCCTACGAAAACACCTAAAGAAGCCTATCTGACCAAACCATATTCTTCAAAAAACCACAAACCAGCGAGGTGCGATTGAGGAATAAGTCAAAATCACTAACAAAATCCATATTCTTCAAAAGTCACAAACCAGAGAGGAGGGATTGAGGAATAACTCAAAATCAAAAGGAGAAAATTATCTAAATTAATAATTTGAAACTCCATAATGCCGTTTCTCAAAACCAAAGTTGACAGCCATATACAACAGAATTTTTGAAAATTAATTTCAATGAACCCTACAATCCATGGCACTGATAACTTCAGAGCTGAAATACAACCATCATAGGATAATAACAACTGGAGTTGGCAAAAACCAAGAGCACCATTTAGACCGCAACCACGAAGAAACTTACAGATAAGTTGAAAAGACAATTGTAAGAGAGAAGTCCTAAAATAACACCAAAAGAAGCGTATCTGACAAAACCCATATTCTCCAAATGGACAATATGATGAGGCAACAAGCACAACCTACAACAGAAATACGAACACAACCTACTAAAAGGATTCATAACAGGAAGCAGAACAAAAGGAAAGCCTCTAGAAGAAATGGATGGCCAAACTCTTGATTCAAGGATCGAAGGATGAATAAAGAGAGCAAGCTGAAGAAGCTAACAAACAAATATTATACAAGAGTAGATGCCCTTTACAAATCAAGAACCAGTTCACTGAGAACAAGTTCAGATTTCAGAAATCCAGCGAGTGACAAGACGGACAAGCACAACATTACACATCACAAGATAAAAAGTCCATTATCCATTAATTAGAAAATAAGCACAACACAAGAAAGTATCATAAAAATAACACACAATAGTAAAATACCACAGACACCACAATACATGAAATGTAGAGGACCATATAAGAAGAAACCTGACAGATAGTCACCAAGAAACGAAGAATAGCATCAAAAAAAGAAGAAGAAAAAGAGAAGTACGGCACAGAACATCAGATGGGAAAATACGACCGACCAAAAATATCAATTTTGAGACTTCAATAGAACACAAAATCAGAAACAGTTCGTAACAACACGCAACACCATGAAGAATTCTTCATTGCTTCCCAACAAGAAATTCCAGAACAACACAGAAACATGGGAACAATGTGATACGTTAGGACAAACCAACTGTTTTGTAGCAGCAGAGCAGCAACCTGAGAACCTTCTCCCATCCTCCAAATCACGACAAAAACTCATGCCCTAGAAAATGAACATAGGGAGATATTTGTCACTATTGTTCAAAATAAATGCCACCAAATTCAGGAGAATGAGAGAGAGAATCAAATGGGAGGAATTTGCCCCTATAAAAAATAATCACCAGTAAAACCATGAACGGAGATCGGCATCATTGAGAAAGGAAGGAGAAGCAAAGTTTTAGAACCTGCAAAGAGCTGCAAATTCAGAAGAAACAACTTTGTGTCAATCAAAATAAAGACAGTAAGGATCCAAAATGAAAAGCATTTATACAAAATAACACCATTCCAAGATGCTTTCCACTACAAAGAATAATACTTTGCACACTCAAATCCTCTCAAGTAGAGAACAAATAACCCAGAGTGACAAACTTTAATTTTGGAATAAACAATCAAGCAAACAGACATGTATATCCATTAATAAGCCGAAAAGAACGAAAGAGAAACGCCATGGTATCTAAAGACACAAGATAACAGGAACTGAGTAAGATAAACAAGAAAAACACCTCCAAAGATTAAGTAGAAAGCAATGGACTAAAATAAAAACCAAATAAAAAAAATCCCCAACATGTGGGATTATATCTTCATGTTCCAATGAGCAAACTCCACATCTATATATGTGCCACTGAACATCTAAACAAACAGAAGGTGAGAATCGCATCCTACAGACACCAGCAGACACCATTCTTCAAATCTATGGCACAACCATAAATAACAAGAACGGTGAACAATAACTAGTTCCCATACTTGACAAAAAGGGCGGCAATGATCCAATAAAAAATTACAGATAAAATACTGCAACACAAAGCGCAGAAGAAATCCAGAAATCTCAAGGAACATCAAACAATACCATTTGTGGCCCCATTATTGCATCCAATAAGAGCATCACGTAGAACCTAAGGGCACAAAATTTCAACAGGAACTGAGCCAATACTCAAGAAAGCAAGCCTCCCAACACAAACCATACCATACCAAATAAAATAAATAAATCTGATGAGGGTTATCCAAACCAATGGAGTCCATGATCCAAACCAACCAGGTTGATATCGGATGCAAAAACCAACTTTTGTTATAGAAGCATGACAGCACCGACCAACATTTCCCTTCATGAGATCATCCAGAGGACTACCTATAATCAGGCATCCCAAAGAACGAAATAGTTATCATTATTGCACCTAATGAACCACCAAAATTAAAAGAATTCAAAAGTGGGATCAGTATGGGGTAGTTGTTTTCCCAAAACCAGACGACTATCTGTGAATCCATGATTTGCAATAAGCACTTCATCATGTTGCCTATCACCAAAAGCAATGCCACACCCAATGCTTCAAATCATGGAATCATCTGCACATGCAGAAGAGATATCTGTAGATCACAACAATGACCAAATACACTCTGATAAAAATATTAAAAGAAATAACACCGGTCCAATATGTTTTTGTTCCCCTAAAAAATTTGAAAACTTTGCAGAACTCCTTCACTATCTCAAGATGGAGATCTTCTATTATCATCAAGTTGATTGCAAATAACCCCGAGCGTCTTGGAATCTTCAAAAAATTAATCTTGAACCTTGACAACATGATCCACCAATCTGACCAGAAGTAATCTAATAGCTTAGGTATCAGAATTACATGGGCCAACAAAAGCAATGCAATAACTTAAATATCAGCATCACAAAAGCCAACATCACCTAGAAATAGAGTACCATAATCCAACCTCATTCCCTGGCACACAATGGCACTCGATAATCAGGTCACAATGATAGCCTGGTAATCAATCAACAGAGAAAACCAGAGAGGGATTTTGATCTTCCACAAAAGAACCTCCATCAATAAATTCACAGATAAAATCACCCAAAATAGTATCATAAAGGAACCCAGACTCAACAAAATCCATCGTCACTAGTCAAACTGCAAAGCAATCACCAAGACAGAAAACCAGACAAGAACTGGAGGAGGTAACCGCAGAACTGAGAGATTAATACATAAGAGCCACAAGAACCCTATCTTACAGAATGTAGATTACGATCCTTTGAATGCACATGTAAGATGTCTGAAACAAAAATAGAACCATCACTCCTTGAACATGATTAAGGAGCCCATCAATATATAAAAACGATCTTTGTAGATCTGAGTAAAATCAAGAAACCGAAAGAACTCAAAACACCCTATTATAGTAAGATCCCAATTTTAAAATCAAGAAATGTCAAAGATCAACAAGAAGTGATTCGCCAAGAAGCATGACAGTGATCTAGAAAGAAAAAATACAAACGAAACCCTAAGACCACACAAAAGTAATCAAAGGACAGTAAAAATCAATCAGAAAAAGAGCACAATGAAACGATTTTCTTGTGATATATAATTTCTAAAAATTTTCAGAAGCGTGAAAGTTTTACTTGTATGTGTACAGCGCGATATAAATTCAACCATGCTTTGTATCAAAGTGACTCAAAAAAAAAAAAAATTCGAACGTAGATTTAGAATGAAGTTAACCGAGATTTAGAAATGATGTTTGTCATCTTTCTGATGATGTTTATTGCATAAGGTACACTATTAATCTATTTTCATAGAGCCCACTTGCTCCCTCCAGCAAAGCCCATTCTAAGTGTGTCCCATGGGCACCAAATTTTGAACGGGCAAAATTTCGATCTTAACAACCAATCTTTTTTTTTGGGGGTGGGGGGAGAGAGAAAAGAAAAAATAGAAGATAATGCACATGAAATGCCCCAAACACATCTCAAAATTGAATAAGATAATCCTAATATTTTTAGAAGACAAAATCTAAGTGTTGAGACGTCAAATTCAATTTCTTTTAAAACAATGATCTTAGATGGATCTTTAAATTTTAGAGGAAAAAGGAATACTTGATGGTAAAGATAATATGCCCCCAAAGACCACAATAGATTTGACACCCAATGTAACACCCTCACGGTTGGCTACACCACCAAACAAAACTTGAAATTTCTCAAATTATCTCTTTAATATGCAATTTGTAACAAAAGAAACACAACAGATATCCGTAACTAATGGAAGATATACAACCCTCTTTTCAATAGAGGAACTCTAGATCTTACAATAATTACTTCACGGCAACACACTCTAACCCGAATCCTTACAAATTGACAAAATTTTTTCCGCCACCCCTCACTAATCCAGAACTTCCACGCATAATCCCCCGATTGGACTTCTTCAATTGGAAATTATCTACTTAACAAATGGCATTTCCTTTTAAATTTTTATAAATATACAATATCAATTTTTAACCGAAACAAACATTCACAATTCCAACATAAACCAGATATGTGCAACCTGAAACTAAAAATTTACAAAATATACATAATAAGGCCATTTACTTTTGATAAAAAAATATATAATAAAACTTCTTATTTTTTTATACAACGCTCAGATCATTCATCGATTGGGTACGAAGTTCAAACGCAGATTTCACATCCAATAGTTAAGAGTGAATGTTAACTCACATAAGGGACCAAATTTAAATTTTTGAACTGCTAGTGTAAGAGTCAGAAGACAAAAGATATCGTACCTCCACATTTTTATTCTAATCCATGAATTCATGTCTAGATAGAAGATCGATCCAATTCATTCACATATTTTACAAAAAGAACTACAATATGTACATAGCAGATGCAGCTACTGGGACACGATTTTCTTGTACAAAATAGCATTACCTAACCACCAAATATTTACATGTTCAATAATAAAAAATAATTAACTTCCAATATGACAAGGAAAGAGCCATACAGACGCGACAGTGAAATCCCATATAGACGTAAATTTGGAATATACCCACAATGGCTTCTCTAACATCGACACCAACACCAGCATTTTCCTGAGATGGCACCAATAAAATCAGGCACAACTGTTGAACACAATGTCGCACGAAGATTAAAATTTGCTGGATTCATGTCAGATGTACATCAAAGCAAACACTGCATAGTGGCAGCAACTTCCCCTCCTCAGTGTGTGCTCAATGTCGCACGAAGATTAAAATTTGCTGGATTCATGTCAGATGTACATCAAAGCAAACATTGCATAGTGGCAGCAACTTCCCCTCCCCAGTGTGTGCTCAACAATGGAGAATCCAGCAGCAACAAGAAGCAACTGATGAAGCAAAGAAAAGCCCAACATTCTTAAAACACAAAATTCATCTCATCCACATATATTATTAAAATGGCAAAATGCAAGAATAACCTCCCACCCCAAGAAGAGCACACATCAAGAGGGAGCAACTAAAGTGAACAAACAGATGGACCGACACTGCCAAACATAAGAGTGTAACTAGGACAAAATCAGTCAAGAAGAAAATAAAGACCAGATGTCAAGGATACTAAAGACTGAATATGCAGATGAACTTCAAAAGAATGCTACAATCTCATCTTCCAAACCTCTAACGGACACATTTCTCCATCCATGGATAATATCAGTACAAACCATTGAAGGTCAGCTCCAAAATGTTTTGAAACACAAATAACAAAAACATAAAACAAAGAGGTAAGGTAGATAACACTAAGCGTGGATGATTGTTCTTACACGACTATCATGAGCCATTTTGCATGATCATATTGCACGAACTGTATCTCCACATCATACCACAACTTAAAAAACAAACCAAATTAAACTAAGATATTTTTTTTTTTAGTGAACAATTAAACTAAGAATTCAGCTGCCTACCAAAAACCACAAGAAATAAATCCCTATGACCACAGCACAGATCTCGGAACTTGCATAACTCCATAACCAATACAGTCAAAATAGCTAGTTCTTGTACTCGTCATTTTCAGCAATGATACAATAAAAAAGATGTTATTGATAAAATAATTCAACACAGAACAAAAGAAATCCAGAAATCCCAAGAGGAACATCAAACAAATACCATGTACGCCTCCACTATTGCCTCCAATAGCGGGGCACCCAAGATCACGAAATTTTCAACAAGCCAATACCCTGAAAGCAAGTCAAGTGAATGCAAGTCTCCCAAAACAATACCAAACCAAATACAATCTCTTGAGGGTTATCCAAACCTAATGAGTCCATAATGCACAAACCAAATTAAAATCCAGGTTGATATCAAATGCAGGAACAACTTATGTCAGGAGCCCAGCAACATCCACAAAGTTCCCCTCATGAAATCATCGATGAGGACTCACTATAATTAGGCATCCCAAAAATTGGAGAGAGTGATCACTATTACACCTAAAAGGAATTGAAAAGTGGCATCAAGATGAGGTAACTGTTTTCCCAAAACACTACAAACCATCAACGAATCCATGGTTTGACATAAACACTTCAACATGTTGCCCTTCAACCAGACACAATGCAACAACTAGTGTCTCAACTCATCCAATAATCTGCATATGCAAAAAAGATATCTCTAGATCAACCATGATGACCAATGGTAATATTATCATTCGATATCAAACTGATCAGAATATTAAAAGAAGTAATCCCCTTCCAATTTGCATTGCTTCAAGAACAAAATGGAACAACTTGCAGAACTCCTCAACCCCTATCTGCATCAAGTTGATTTCTACCTGCATCAAGTTGATTGTAAATAATCCAAAGAAATAATCTTAAAATTTCAGCAACATGATACAACAAACTGAATAGAAGTAACCCACAATAGCTTAGGCATCAGAACTGAGTATGGTAATGAAACCTTATTCCTCCACAAACAATAGCAAACTATAAAGTCAGGTTACAATGATAGCTCTCTAATCGATAACCAAGAAGAACCAAAGAGCAATTTTCAATACTTGAACAAAAGAACACCTCTTTAACGACATCACCTAGAGGAGAGTCAGAGGGCAGCCTAAGTGCAATAGCATTAGGAGTCAACAAAATCCAGCAGAACTCTGCAAGCAATCACCAAGAAACAATACCAGAGAAGAATCAGAGGGAAAACTTGGAGAATTGGTAGACTCAATTAAATCATAAAGGAAGGCCCAAACATAAAGCAACAAGCCTATCTTCCGGATAGTTGATTATCTTTCAGAGATTACAATAGATTAGACCTTTGAAGCCATGACTTTAAGCATACTGAAATAAAAACACAACCATCATCCCATAAACCACAATAAAAAGGCCGTAACCCGATGCTGGTCCTATCTACACAGGGTCCCGGGAAGGGTGAGCTGGAAATGGTCCTAACCTTTGGCTTTTATGCACAAAGTTGCCGCTCTTAGGACTTGAACCCACGCTCTTGGGCTGGCAACCCGAGCCTTTTACTGTCACACCAAGTGACCCTTCACCTCATATTGTCCACATGTTCCAATCAAAAAGCACATAGAAACCTAACATCTCAACAGATCCATGAATCAATAATGACAGCAAGATGATAATCTAACATTACAAACCCAGATACCGAAGAAAACAACACAGCATGCTGTCAAGAGCTCAATAAAAGAGAAAAAATAGCATCATGTATAGTGATGGACCAATATACAATAGCTACTACAAGCAAATCAGCTAAAAATCCTGCATAAAAGGAACCACCAATAAAAAAGTAAGAGTGAATGGACAACATCACCAAATCCATCTCTTCCACCTCCGATATCTGAAAAACCAATGCACAGCTCAAGTGACTTTTCACCCACATTCCATCTCAAAATCTAGAAAGGAACATTGATCGATTACCAAAAAGTGACTAGAAGAAGAACGTATAAGTTAAACCAACACTAAAGAGTGAATGAACAACATCACTAAATCCCTTCTCTTCCACCTCCGATCTTTGAAAAACCAATAAATGAATATCTCAAGTGACTTTTCATTCCATCTCAAACCAAAAGGTGACTAGAAGAACATGTAGATCAAACCAAAACTAAACAACACAGACAACTGCAATTCACATAGGTCAGGGAAAGAGGCACAGATCAAACCATCTTCAACTTTGCAACCAGTTCTCACTTAATAACCCTGTGCATACGCCCCCATTCCATGTGTGTTGACGCTCCTCGTCCACTGGAGAGTCACTATTATAGACACCAAAGATGGAACTACCCAGACACCTCGTAGATCAGGCAGAAAGCCAATATACATCAGAGAAATTGACATCCACAGATACCAAGGATAACTTACTCCCATTCACCAGAGCTCTATAAATGGTACACGATGTTTCTAACATTTGAATGTTACTAGCACTCTCCTCACCTCATACCGTCCATGTGTTCCAGTCCGAAAGCATATAGAAACCTAACTGCCAGCCATCCAACAAAATGCAACAAGAAACTGAAATACAAATCAGTTGACAATATGGTTGCTAGCACCATGATGCAGCCGAAAGCCCCAATATAACAACCAGTGTATATACCTCTGAGAGATCCAAAACAATTCACTATAATTAGAACATACCAAAAAGAGCCCACCCAGCAGCCATATGCCATGGAGCCCATCGAGCAAACAACCAATCGATATATAGCACCCCCACCTACAGCATCGCCAGGACACAAGAGTATCATCATATAATTAACAGAAAGCAACTCTAGGCTAGACAACAAGAAAGAAGGTCCAAAGTTGAGTCCAAATAAATCAAACGACACAGCTAGACAACAAACTCGAAACAGTCCAATGTGTGCCTCCGATTACATGGGCAAATCAACACGGTACCTAATGAGAACAATAAATGCAAACTAAGACTTCAGAATCAGCATATAAACCTTTACAAACAAAGAGAAAAAGTATATCACTGTACCATACTGATTCCGCCCAAAAAACAGCCCAACATCCCCCCCAATATAGAGGCAAAGCCCAGATATAGAAAAAACAAACACAACATATTGTCAAGAGCATAATAAAAGACAAAAAATAGTATCTTGTGTAGGAATGGACCGATATACAACGGCTCTTACAGGTAAATCAGCTATAGAAAATCCTGCGTAAAAAGAACCACATTTAAAAAAGTAAAGAGTGAATGGACAACGTCACCAAATCCCTTCTCTTCTATCTCCGATATCTAAAAAAACCAATAAATGCATATCTCAGGTGACTTTTCATCCTCATTCCATCTCAAACCAAAAGGTGAACCAACACTAAACAACTCAGACAATTGCAGTTCACACAGACCAGGGCAAGAGCCACAAATCAAACCATCTTTCACTTTGCAACCAGTTCTCAATTAATAAACTTGTGCACCTATCGCCATTCCATGTGTGTTGGCGCCCCTGGTTCACCACTGGAGAGTCACTGTTACAGACACCAAAGATGGAACTACCCAGACACAAGCCAATATAGAATGTATCAACAAAGAAATTGACATCCACAGATATCAAGGATAACTTACACCCATTCACCAGAGCTCTATAAATGGTACGCGATGTTTCTGACATTTGATTGTTCGTGGCAATCTCGTCACCTCATATTGTCCACGTGTCCAGACAGAAATCTTATAGAAACCTATTTGTCAGCCATCCAACAAAATGCAACATGAAACTTGTTTATGCCCCAATTTGCGCCGATCTCTGGGATAAGATCTGCTCAAATCTTAACAAAAACTGAGTTACTTTTAAAAGGTAGAGAAAGTGGGGTCGCTTGAATTGTGGGCTTAGAAAAATTCCAGATCTATACAGATCCCATCTTTTTCTGAATCCACTGGTAGCGCAATCTCCAAATCCATATTTTGACCTAAAAATGCTTCTAAATTTAATCATATCTAATAATTTAATTTTCAAAAAAAATAAAATAAAACAAAGAATTAAATGAAGAAAAACAAACTAAATTAAGCAAAAAAACGTGATACTTACCTCGAGGGACACGAAACCTAGAGTTTCGGGCTTGGATCAGGCCGCTCTTCCGATTTGTACCACCATCTCCTTTTTTGGACCTTTGCTTGCTGGAATTGGTAGATCTAAGGTTCTTTGACTTAGATCTAAGGTTATTAACGCAGGGGGAAAAGCTGAGAATTTTAGGTAGGGTCTACTTAGGCTTTTCTTAGTATTGGAGGTGAATTCTAAGGCAAAGGAAAGCTGGGAATTTTAGGTAACGTTTACCTAGGCTTTTCTTAGAATTGGAATAGAATTTCCTTAGACTTCTAAGGGTTTTGGGATCTCCAGAAGTTGAATATGAATTCTGGGATTTTCTCGGATTTTTTTAGACTTTTTGGGATTTTTCCTAATTTTTTTAGGAATTTTCTAAGGGTTTTTCCTATTTATTGGATTGGTAATTTTTCTTATTTCGAGAATTTCTAAGGGATTTCTTTCTTTTTTATATTTCTTTTATGTCCTCCTTTTGGGTTAGGGAGAGGGGGTATTTCTAAGATTCAATTGGTGGTTTTTCTTGATTTCTTTGGAATTTTTTCGGAATTGTTTGGATTTATCTTGAAGTTTTAGCCCTATCTAATTCAAGAAAATGCCTTTATTGCATCATAAAACGCAGTGACTGCATCATCAGGCCGCGTCTGCATCATCAAGCTGCGTTATAGCCTGGCCTGTGGCCCGACACTTGGGTCTCATAGGGACTACATTGTCATTTGTTATATCCATTTATCCGTAGGTCCGATTCAGGCGATTCTTTGACCGTTGGAAAGATCTCGAGCTCTACTTCAAGTTAGGATAGGATTTGGGTAGTTTTTGAACAATTAAATTGGGTCCAAGTTTCCTAAGGTCTACTAAGGTTTTTTTGCTCCTTTAGGTTCAAAATCGAGATTTTTAAAAGTTCCCTCAGCCAAAATTTCGAGGGGGTGTCCACAGTTGCCCCTCTTTGGCATTCACTTGGGGCACCAGGTGAATAGCAAAGAAATAGACACCTGAGACACGGTGGGAAGGAAAACCCTTTTCGAGGGATCATTTTTTTTAATGGCCAGTACCCTTTGGGTAGGCGGTACACCAATGGATGCTTTTGATTCGTAAGACATCGAAGTAGCACTGTTACCTTTGAGTCAGTGCGGTTGAGAGGTCTCCGACAATCGGGATCCGAAGTGACAGTCAACAGGAACCATGCTATTTTTGAGCCGTTGACGCTCCTTGTTGTAGTCACTCCAATGCTACTTTAAAAGTTGCCAGTGCAGTCATCTTCGACTTTAAACCTCTTTCTTAGGGTCTGATTCTCAAATCGAATGGGATTTTGACTTAGAAGAAATGATGGGATGATAAATTTCTAGCTAATTGAACGTCTTGTTCGCCTTCGATTCTGATTCTTAGGATCCACAAGTCCAGGCTTTTTGGTATGAGAACCTATGGGTTGGTCTCTGTTTTCCCAAGGGTTTGCAAGCATGGCAATCCAAGATTTGGTGGCGGCGGACGCATCATATCCAAGCCTCCATGAAACTCCTTCATTTTTTTTTAAACATTTTAGAAGGTTTTGAAGATAGATTGAATTTTGAAACAGAAAGAGAGTTTCGAGCTACATTGTAACCAAAGAAATTAAGGTTTTTGAAAACTCATGAAACACATAGGGGAAATTTTTGAAGATGAACGAAGAATCACTACGTACTTCCTCATCTTCCAATCTTAGCTCCTTTGTCACAATTCAAGGAAGACTTTTTCTTGTTTTCCGAGCAAACCGATGTCTTGGATAATATGGGATGTGCCTCAGAGTGCTCAAATATCCTTGGAATTCCAATTTTGTTCCTTTACTACCACTCTTTTGAAGTTCAGATAGTCGGGCCCCTTCAAGTTTTACTTGGACGGATTCCTTCCTTTGCTTTCTGACGCCATTCTAACTTGAGATGCGAATAATTTCTGGAGATTTTGGAGAAGAGACGAAAAGATAGAGAAGTTCTATTTTTTTATCGCCCGGGGGTCCCTTTCAGGTAATTAGCCCGGTAGCTTTTTTCTTTCCAACTCTCGGAGTTCCTTTCTGATTTTCAGCCCAACAGATTTTTTTTTTTTTTTCAAAACGCTTGAGATTCCTTTCGACTTTTCATCTCAACGGAATTTTTTTTTTTTTTTTTGAAGAAAAAGAAGAAGAAGATGATGAAGAAAGCGGAGAAGGAGAAGAGTCGATGGCCTTTTTCCTTCTTGTGCACTTCGTCCTAAAAAACAGATAAAACTCAATCATCCTTCCTTCTTCCAAGTGGTAGGGAAGTCCTAGTTTTGGTTATCCTTAGATTTTCCTTGCCTCTGGTTGGTATCAGATACTTCCTTAACAAAGGTTACCGAATTCTTATAGAATCTTTCCTCCTTGGATTGCTTCACTCGAGCCTTGATCTTCAGACTCATAGTCACTCTCAGCTTCCTAATCCTTCAATCTCTTGTTGGGTTGGCTAAGCTCATTTTCTTCTTCTTTTTTCTATTTTTTTATCTTTTTTTTTTTTTTCTATTTTTCAACTCCTTAGGTTGTCAATACCACAGAGTATAATGCCTAAGCAGAGCATGGATGCCCCACTTGGCTTATTTGAAAGGGAAGAGTAAGTGATCACCCCACGCCCTGTCGCTCTTGAGGAGCACATCGCCTCAAGGCATTTTGGGAAGGTGTAGGCCTCACCGATTGCCCCTGCTTTATTTTCATCATCAAGTGAGGGTACTCTTATCAAGTGGTTTGACGGGGCTGCCCCTGTAAGGTCTTTTCCTGAGATCCTTTTTCTTGAGGGAACAACATGATTTGATCTTTAATGTCTGGTTCTTCATCCCATATAGGCGAGAGTTATTCAGAAAATCCTTTAAAAGTGGCCCAGGTGGTCCACTTACAACTTCTAGGGGTTTGATTTCTTTTAACTCTTGCAGATGTGTTAGATCTTCAGGATTGATAAATTTGGATCCCTTGCTTTTTCTGCGTTAATCAGCTCTTCATCCCAAATAGGTGGGTTTGCAAAGAAGTCAAGTGAAGGTGGCCCAAGTAGGCCTCTTAGGATTTCATCCATTCTTGAGGGGATGGATCTGCTTTTGGGTTCACATTAAGGGATAGTTCAACAGAATCCTCTAAGCTTGACTCTTTTGTTTCTTCATGGATTGCACTATCGAGATTAAGGAATTCCTCACAAATGTAGTCTTGGGAGTGCCTAGCTTCAGGATCTCCATTGAGCGCATTGATGACTTGAGCCTCCTGTGAATCATCCACTACACTTATTTGAAAGATGGGATCATTTTCTTTTGTGGCGACAAGTATCATAGGGATGTCTTGAACTTTTTGTGTGCTCGTTTCTTCGACCGGAATCGAGATTTTTTTTGTACATTCCTCATTTTCTTGAGTTTCATAATTCTACAGTTACTTTCCTCAATTTGAATTTGAGAATCTATAACCTCAAGATTTGGATCATCTACCCCTGCCCTGCTATCTAGGATAGGGGTGTCTTGAGTCTTCTGCAAGTTTATTCCTTCAACTTCAATTGGAACTTCTTGTGCGAGAGTTTGCTCTTTCATACTGTCTTGAATCATACACTCTGGGCTAAGGCAATCCTTGGCATTTTCTTTATAAAATTTCCTAGCCACAGGGTTTTGAGTGTACTCATGCTCATCTGATATTTTTTTCATAGGGTGGATAATTTGGTCCCTTTTGTGTCTTCATATTCTCAACTTTTATTGGGACTGCTGAAATTGTTTCCTTCTTTTGTGGGTTGGACCTCTCTAATTCTATAGGAGCTCCCCATGGAATAGATCCAAACCTAAGGCAATTCATATCATTTGGTTTCTGAAATTCCTTGGTAAATACGTCACTCTACCATTTTCATTTTCATTTTCTGGGCGGTTTCTTCCTGTGCCCCAATGCCATATAGGATGATCTTCAGGCTTGAGCAGGGATTTCGACTCGTCGATCTTTATCAAGTTGATACCAACTAGGACTTCGTCATCTGCATCAGTCCTATCATCTGATATTACCTGACTTTGCTTTGAGTAAGCCCCATCAATGTCCTTAAATGATTCTGTCCTTAAATGATTCTGGTGATGGTTCTGACTTGGGATCGTCATCAAATTCTTCAATTGTCATCTCTTCAGAGTTACATTTAGATGAATCTTCACTGTAGTCAAGCTCTTGTTCCTTCACGACTTCATTTGACTCTTGCCCCAGTATAGTTTCATCAGGCTCTTGACCCAGTATAGTTTCATCGGGCTCTTGCTCCAGTGTAATTGGTGACCGATCTCGAGCCTTTTCCTTTGATCTCTCATAACGTGAAACATTTTTAGCAATGAGTCAAAAGAAAAAGGCCGAATGCTTTTACTGAGGTAGAATTTATACTCAGGGGAAGCATTCCCTATGGCCATACCGATCTTAGAGGCTTCAGAAAGCGTGCAATCAATGACTTTTGATGCAATCTCTCTAAATCATTAGACAAAATCTGTAAACAACTTGCCCGAATTCTGTTTGGTGGAGACCAATTCGCCAAGGGTCATTGATCTCTGTCTGGTCCCGTGATATTTGCTCAACAAAACATTGAAACAACTCATCGGGAGTTTGATTTGGGTATTTTGATACCACCTCTATGAACCATGTTAAAGCTTGTCCGGGGAGAGTGTACTAAA